CACTGTAGCTGTAATATAATTAAAAATATTTTTCTATTGGTGATTGTAACTTATAATAAATTAAACATAAGTATAACTATGAGAATAAGGTGCTGAAGCTTTCAAAAAAAGTAATTCAACTTCACAAGAAATTATTACCAACGAAATTCGCTTTGTTTTTTTTATGTACGGAGCTACACGAGTTACTATGAAATCTACCAGCTTAGATTGGTATCGATATACATGTTTTGTTAAAAACATGCATATCGATACCAATCTGTTTTATATCAATATACCAATTTTTTTTTGTTAAAAACATGCATATCGATACCAATCTAAGCTGGTAGATTTCATAGTAACTCGTGTAGCTACGTACATAAAAAAATGGGTGCGTGTACTTATGTAGGCGCGTGAGAAGTTATCCTTCTTTGGCATCGTTTAAAATTAGTTTTTAATTGCATGCAAATAATTAATTACAATAAATTAATAATAAATGTCATTTCATTTCATTTCATTCCGTTCCATTCCGTTCCATTCCGTTCCATTCCGTTCCATTCCGTTCCATTCCGTTCCATTCCGTTCCATTCCGTTCCATTCCGTTCCATTCCGTTCCATTCCGTTCCATTCCGTTTCATTCCGTTTCATTCCGTTTCATTTTGTTTCATTTCGTTTCATTTCATTTCATATCACATCATTTCATTTCAATGTCCCGTTCAAATCTGCCCTGTTTGCTTTGTTCAAATCTGCCCCACGGTCACTTGGAAAATAAAATATTACAAATAACGCGCCCGCGGCTAACTTCATTATGTTAAAATTTTGTGTTACAGTGATGAAAATTTCACTCTCATAATTTTTTCATAACGCGGCTAAAGAAGTATAACTTCAAAAAAACAAAGCGAATTCCGTTGGTAATAATTTCTTGTGAAGTTGAATTACTTTTTTTAAAAGCTTCAGCACTTTATTCTCATAGTTATACTTATGTCTAATTTATTATAAGTTACAATCACCAATAGCAAAAATATTTTTAATTATATTACAGCTACAGTGATGTATATACGTTACGTACATATGTTGTATATTAGGAACGATAGCTCTCCGGGAAAAAGAAATTAATACCTTTTTAGAGATAATTCTATGATCTAATATTTTTGTCTAAGGTAATTTGACGTTAAAACTTACCGATTTGATAAAAGTAGCTGAAACAACAAAAAAAAACATTTATCATTGACCTCGAGTATTTTTTCCCATACTGGAATGATGGGCAATTTTGATACGTTATTTTTAATTATGTCTTGAATAATTATACTCACTCCCAGCTTCATGTGAATTTATGCACCGTCACTCTTATTTTTCCGTCTAATTTGACCGGACTATACAACGAAGTAGGTACTTGTACAGAGACAGACCGAAAACAATATGGATATATTTTACCAAGGAAAAGGCAAGATTAATGTTAAGATTTGAGGAGAGGTAGGTCTCGGCGGAATTGATGGGTTGGTGTGATTTGCTGCACATTCTATCAAAATAATAATGTATGTGTCTATTGTATGGATAATAAAGATGTATTGCCTATACAGAATTTTAAACTGGACAAATAATGATGATGAAAGTAAATGAATGCATTAGTAGAAAATAAGTTACTCAACTGTTTAAGAAAACATCGTACTTATTTTTGACAAGAACTGAAACATTGGGGTGTTAATTTTACACTTCTTTACTCGTTTTGAACTTAAGGTTATGTTAATGTAACTTTTGTTTTCATATTTCTTTGTTTTATGGCTGTAAATGTAATTTCGCTTTACACAAACTAACGCGGTCTCATCCCGTCTGCTACATGGTCCGCATGGACTTTTTTCTAGTAAAAAAAATATTTAGATTTAAACATCTTGCAGTTAGATGGTTAAAAAATACAAAATATGACATTGTGGGTTACCTGCAACGCGAAGATATGGCGCTGCCTTGCAGCCTAAGAAGTACTTGAGAAAATTCGACACGGACAATTAGGGCCGCGGAAGCATAAGGGTCATTGCATCTGCCCGGATAGCGGAGGGTGGTGAGGGAGTCCCGTCTGCAGAATATTTTCTAGTAAAATTTCTCTTTAGATTTAAACATCTAGCAGTTAAACGCTTAAATATATATATATATATATATGGTATAGCTGCAGTATTCAAAGAACAATACAAAATTGTACCCATAATGGATACAATTTCGTGTTGAATAAAATTTACTATTAAGATTTTTTTTTACTTTTCCTACATTAGAAAACTTTTAAGTAAAAGACGAAACTCGTTAACCGAAATCCAAATTTAGAACGCAAGAAAAATAAATTCCTTTCGAAAATCTTTTGATCTTTTGGCCGAGAGCATATTGAAGCGTTTTTATCTTGTACTAGGACCTGCGGTTTCACCCGCATCAATTTGAGAAAAACAAGGTTAAAAGGCAGAAATATTCTGTCACAGACTTTTTTTATAGAACTTTTTAAGGAGAACAATCGCGTCATACATGATTTTTGTGTAACTTATACCGTTTAGGCAACGTATGCAACGGAAGCTCTCAAATGGAAGACTTTTTCCCATTTTTGCAATATTTTTCATCGATCCGCTGCTCCTACTAAAGCTCTTCTCTGCTCCTGGAACGGTCATGTTATATTGCCTATAGCCTGCCTCGATAAATGCACTTTCCAACACAAAACATAATACGTTTCAGCTTTATAACATTAGTATAGATAGATTGTACAACGTCGTTTGTATGTAAAGCCATAGTACAAGATCCAAAGACCGCCAGACCTTACTTACTTATTTTCTTATGGAAAAAATATGGATAAACGAGGAGAATTAGTGTGTACAATGAACCTACTCGTACGTTGTAGAGAATATTGTAAACACTTAAAATTGAAATTATAATTTTTATTTTATAATAATGTTTATAATAACTGCTCGATATTTAAATCTAAAGAAAATATTACTAAAAAAAATGCCACGTGGACCAGGCAGCAGACGGAAATTGTTTACAGTATTCTCTACAACATACGTAAGAATCAATCCTCAGACAGTAAGAAAGAAAATAAGAAAATACATTTATTTATTTTGACACAAACAACGAGACAAGAGATACAAGTTAAGTTAGTAAAAATTTTACGTGTCTGTGCCACCTGATAGCTGATAATTGGCCCACATCACAAGTTAGCGAGTACGTATGCGTTCATTGTACACACTACTACTACTTGATTTTCCATTTTGTGTCTATGAGAAAATAAGTTAGGTCTGGCGGTGTTTGGATCTTACCCTGTCACACATGAGTCATACATAAATGGCGGAAAGATAGAGTGAACACATAATACAAACTCATTCGTTCTATTCGCTTCGGTTCGTCGTCTGTTTGACCGATGCGTAGGTCTGTAATGTCCATTTTTCAGAACGGTAAGGTAACGCTACCTTTCCGTTTCCGAGAAAAGAGGACATTACCGTGACCAAAATCTAAAAGGTATATGAAAGTAGGTATAGGTAACGGTAAATGTAGCGAATAATCATAAAAAAGTGTGATATTTGGCATTCGTCTGAAAATCAAATTGGGGGTTCCTCTTTGTTGTTGTGCACGATCCCTGTCCTTTGTCGAGGAGGCACTCGTTGACACCCAACAATCTGTATTGGACACGTGAGGTGGGTTTTAAGTTATTATAAACGACCTTCCCCCTCCTCCCAGTTTCTTTTTACTTGAAATGGGCTTCGTTCAGCCTTGGTTTATTTAAAGGTAAGAGGGGAAATTTGAGTATATTCCATGTTGGCATAAGTGGCGATAGAAAAAAGTATAATATACCAAATAGGAGCCAAATAAAAGTTTATATCCCCACTTTACGTGAAGGGAAGTGACCTACTTATATTTTTTTATTCAAGATTTTATTTTAATTACTTTTTAGAATTATATTGGACTTATTAGACCTGGGCTAGCTACAGACAGACGAACGGAAGGCCATGACTAAGAGAGCTAAAATATAATAGCCTATTAGTGTGTAGTGACTCCATAAAACGTAGATATTCATAAGCGTTGCGCATATCTTTAAAAATCGAAAATAAAAACTTGTTTTGAAATATGCCGCGGAAACGTTTCGTTCGTTAGCATATATGACGGCTTACAGGCTTGTGACGTCACACGACTCTTATTAAGACGTCAAACAGTACAAAGTAATATCTCTTCGACAGCATGCTTACGAGCAGGTGACATCATTGTAGGCTCTGCCAATCCTATACGTTTTTGGTCAAGTAGCAATAGATCAAAAATATTTTTCTATTTTATGATTTTATGTAATATTATTAACAACTTTTTTGTCAGAATAGTGAAGTCACTCCTGTTAAATACACATGCCAATAATTTATTGGTATTGACAGTCGGTATATACACATATATTGTATAAAATACGTTGTTGAATCTGATAAAAGCTACCAGTGCCTCTCTTATTTAACTGCATGGTGTTGGCAAAAATGTCATCTGTATATATAAAAGGCAACTATTACTGACTGATCTATCAACACCCAGCTGAAACTACTGAACGGATTGAGCTGAAATTTGGCATAAATATAGCTATTATAATCGTGGGAGAGCCACGCAGTAGCTTAGGCTACTGCATGAATGGGCCGGCTCGACCGGAGGAATACCACGACCTCACAGAATACCGGCGTGAAGCAGTACTTTGTACTGTGTTTCGCCGAGTGAGTGAGGCTACCGGAGGCCCAAACCCCCCCCCCCCCCCTTTCCTCATAATGGCGCAGTTAAATAGGATAATACCCCAGGGGGGTACCAGCTGTTTTCACGCTGGAGAATCCCCCTCTGGATGTCCATGCCCAGAACTGTCTCCTTCTGGACGTGGACGTCGAGGCTGCCCTTCGTATTCTGGGGAGGGCGAAACCGCGCTCATTACTGAAACTGCTCGAGGCCAGAGCAAACGTCATACGTCACCCCCTGCCATGTTTAACGTGGATTTCTGCAATATCAGGGGCTTACACTCCAACCTTAATGCTGTTCACTACCACCTTCAGCCGACACCTCCTACCTCCAGTACCCTGGGTATACTTTGGAACATTCCTTTGTACCACGGGCTGGGGTATGTGTGTACGTTAAAGAGGGTATCAGTTTCTGTCGCCTCAGCAACTTTTAAGGTAGGGACCTCTCCATCTTATGGTTGCGTGTAGACGTCGATGACCATCCCCGCGTCTACGCCTGCCTCTACAGGTCCAATAGCGGAAATGCCGAAACTGACCGACTCTTTGATCACGTGCAGGTGGCTACAGACTCCGTGCTTCAGCAGATCCCATCATCTGAAATTGTGATCCTTGGCGATTTCAATGCCCATCACTCCGAATGGCTTGGATCGCCCACTACCGATCATGCAGGTAGATCTTCTCATGACTTCGCCTTGGCCTATGGTCTGACACAACTGGTCACCTCGCCTACGCGAATCCCAGATGTCGAAGACCATACACCTTCACTGTTGGACCTTCTGCTGACTTCACATCCGGATAATTACAAGGTGTCCATAGATGCCCCTCTTGGCTCCTCGGACCATTGTCTAATCCGGAGTATGGTACCACTCACTTACTCACCGCGGCCGCAATTTGCTGGCTGTCGTCGTGTGTGGCACTATAAGTCAGTATAAGTCATTCAGTCAGCAGACTGGGATGGGATGCGCACTTTTTTTTCATCCTACCCTTGGGGCCAGACTTGCTTCTCGCAGAATGATCCCAACGTCGCTGCCGATTCTGTCGCCGATGTTGTCCTTCAGGGTATGGAACTTTTTGTTCCTTCCTCTGTGGTTCCCATTGGTGGCAAATTCCAGCCTTGGTTTGGTCACTACTGTAAACTGGCATCTCGCCAAAAACAGATGTGTTATCAGGCCTGGGCAAACGCAGCGGCGGTCGGGGATAACAACACTAGCGATCTCAAAAAGAAGTATAACTTGGCCTCCAGGTCCTGCAAAAGAGTAATTGCCAGAGCGAAGTCAGAGCACATTAGCAGCATTGGCGAGAGATTAATAAAACTTCCCTCTGGAACACGCGCGTTTTGGTTTCTTGCCAAGGCTGTTGAAGGAAATTTCTGTAAGCCATCCCTTCCACCCCTGCGCAATGGCGACGAATCGATGGCCCATACTGCAAAAGAGAAAGCGGATCTTTTATGCTCACTCTTTGCATCTAACTCGGATACATACCGCCGACCATCCCGCGGTGTGAGAGCTCTATGCCGGAGATCCGGTTCACACAAAGCTTAGTGCCTAAAGCACTCTTTTCCCTTGTCATCCACAAGTCGAGCGGGCCTGATGGAATCTCACCAATTGTGCTGAAGACGTGTGCTCCTGAGTTGGCTCCGGTACTTTTTTTTTATGTTTCTCTGCTAAATGGCAATCTGTTCTATAACAATAAGCCATTTCTTTGGCTGATCCTAGATCTGGGCATTTTAAACTTCCACGAGAGCCAAGTCCAGTAGTCAAATTACTTTACTACGAACTCTCTTTTTGGCTGGTAAATCTTTCGATCAGAGTCGGAATGTCATGTCGTTTCAAACGGGCATGTTGTATGCCACCCCCTCCACTAAGTGTTTTAGCCAGTTCATTTACATGGGTGGCAAGCCTTGACTGATAGTTAGTACTATACTGGGCTATTTCTTGCTTAACTGTGTTTATTTTAGGGTCTAAGTAAATATACTTGTTGCTGATACACTGGGGGATACCGAACATTGTCCGTAATGCTTTAGTTTGGAATCTTTCCAGGATCTCTATGTTACTATTGCTAGCGGTTCCCCATAGTTGTATGCCGTATGTCCATATTGGTTTCAATATGGCTTTGTATATAAGCATTTTGCTGCTGTCGTTTAGCTGTGAGTTTCGGCCAATCAGCCAGCTGTAACTGCGGAGTTTTCCATCGAGTTGCTTTTTCTTAGTCCAGATATGCTTTTGCCACGTGAGTCTCCGGTCCAGATGCATTCCTAGATATTTTGCATTGTCTGCTTGTGGTATATCTTTATTGTTTAATTTTACTAGGGGACAAGTTTCTTTTCTTAGAGCAAACGTAACGTGCGTAGATTTGCTTTCATTTGCTTTTATTTTCCATTGTTTGAACCACTTCTCCACCTTGCCAAGATGTTTTTGCAAGTTAAGTGAAGCAGTTTTTGGGTCACTGTGAGTAGCTAGCAATGCGGTGTCGTCAGCGTATGTAGCAGTTGTTATATTATCAGATGTCGGGATATCTGCGGTGAATATTAGGTACAAGATGGGTCCCAGTATGCTGCCTTGTGGGACACCTGATTTAATTTCATGTAGATCAGAAAGCTCATCGTTGCATTTCACCTGGTAGCTTCTTTTGTTAAGGTAAGAATTTAAAATGTGGAAAAAACAATGCGGAAGCATTTGCTTACCCAGATAAGCCTGAAACTAAAATTTTCTGAAAATTTTGAAAAAAGTTACATTATTTAGTTTATTAGATCTTATGCAACATAAAAAAAATTATGAAAAAAAAATTAAATGTAAGGCTTTCAGGGAAACAGCCGTCCTATATGTAGGACAGTAGGATAATAAGAGGAAATAAAAGACCATTTATGACAAAACAGAATGTAATCAAAAAGTGTAGTTTATTAGATAACTATTGATTATATTACCCATTGTTATATGTAATTTACTAGATTAACACTATTTATGAATGATATGTTTCAAAACACTTGACACACACTCCAACATCACATTTCTTGCAACGTGTCAAACATTTTTTGTGACATTGACGACAGTGTGTTTGCTTCGATTGAGGAATAACCAGATGATTCATTTGGTCTTTACGACTATCAGCATGTTCATGATGGGAGGGTCGGCTAGGCCCTCTTTTGGCATTTTTTCTGTTTGATTCAATCAAAGCAATTGCTACCCTTCTGCGAAAGCCAAGATGATCCATTTTTCCATGATTTATTTTATATAACTGCCATGCATTATGTTCGGCAAGATCAATCATGTGTGTGAGCAACGGCATGTACCATTTCTCGTATACCAATTCGGTAATGTGAAATATTTTCATCAGACCGATCCACTCCTCCCATATATTTGTTATAGATGGACACCATATGTGGTTCTTCTATGACAATGTTTCTCTTTTCACTTTGTGAGAAGCGTTTGGCAGATTGTTTAGGATTTATTCCTACAGCATTAGAAGCAATACTGAATATATTATTGTCATGCCATTTAGCAATAATGAACGTGTTGTCATGTGTCGTTCTGTAATCGACAGCACCACGTTCCTTTTTTTTCAGTAACTTCGATGTAATCAGAGGACAACTAGATGTCCTGTTTTCTCGAACTGCCCCAGTGCAACGAAGGCCTTTATTTGTTATATCTTCCAGCAAGGGCGTCCCAGTAAAAAAAATATCAAAAACTACGTGGTAGGAAGGTCGAAGCCACGTGAAATCAGCACATCGCAAAAAGTGAGAACAACGCTTGCACCCAGCCCCAATTCTTTATATATTGGATTGCACATAGTTGTAGCACCTTGGTATGGTTCCATCCATAAAACATACCCTAACCGTGTAGCACCAACTCAAGCTTTGAACCCGTACCTAATAGGTTTACCTTTTATGTGCTGTTTGCAGCCATGTCTACCATAGTAGGGGATCATGGCCTCATCTACACTGTAATGCTCTTCAAGAGGAGAAAACTCTAAGAACTTTTTATTTAGAAGTGTAACTAGGGGGCGTACTTTTGTGTATTTGTCTTGCAAATCCAGATTATCATTGACATGAAGGTGGCGAAAAATAAAGTCAAATCTATCCCTAGTCATAGCCGAGCTGATCAATTCATTCTTTGTATCAGGGGAGTTTTCCCAATACATTCTTCTACGGGGGAGCCATGAATAACCACTAATCAACAATATGCCGATGAAACATTTCATATCTTCAGTGGTTACGTCTCCAGGCAAATTCTTTTTGACAGCATATTTATTGCTCTCTGACACCAACAACGAAATAACATCTTCATCTAAGAAGTTTTCAAACCACTCAATTGGGCGCTTATCTTGGCAAGCGCCTTGAACATCTGGCCAATTCACGGGATTTTTTGCCAAGTCCCGTTTTCTCCATGCGTAGGTACGCCTACGTTTAGTTCGACCTGTAGAATCAGAAGGTTCTTCTTCTGTATCACTCACCATAATCTGCCCTTAAATCATTACTTCAGCCGGTTGAAGCAGAATGTTTCGTGGCAAATTATTCAAAGTTACATTATCTTCTTCACCCGAATCTTCGTCAGTGAGACAGGCAGGATCAACAGGAGGAGGTAGAATACATATCAGTCGTTCTCTATAATCTTCTTCATTATCAGAAACATTTTCTAAAGCATCTTAAATTTCATGCGCAGCTAACGGTCTGTAAAGAAAAAGTTGTATTATTGTACTAAAATCATGTATATTATCCTACTGTCCTATATATAGTACGCTAGTATTTGTAACAAGTTATACGTAATTTATTTATATTATTTTGCTAGAATATTTATTTAGTACAAAAGTTAAGGTTATCAACTAGATATTAACACAGAAAAAAACAACTCACGAGTAAAATATAACTTTTTATACATACCTGTCATTTGCCATGTCTGCAACGCACTTTTGTTACACACTTATAAGGTAAAAACTGTTAAAATAACTGTCTTTTTATTTTTTCTAATAAAGCTGACACGTTTCTTACTGCAAATCATAAGACTAAATAATCTTAGATAAAGAGGGTATTCTGATATTTTTTTTTATTTCTACTGTCCTAAATATAGGACAATAGGCTAATCTGGGTTAAGTTTGAACATCAGACCCTCGTGCATCTAGGAAGATTGCAGAGCAGTATAATTTGTTTTCGAGACATCTATATGTATACCTATAATATCGACAATGCGGTGTACTTGTTCGATTGTCCCGTGCTTCTCGCGAAATCCGAACTGATGTTTAGGCACTACTTCGTTAAGGAATTCCCTCATTCTATTAAGTAATATCCGTTCGAACAGTTTTCCAACCACTGACAGCAGGCTGATAGGTCTGTAAGATGTTGCCTCTTGGGGAGGTTTTCCTGGTTTAGGCACCATTACCACCTGCGCTATTTTTCACTGTCCTGGGAAATGTTCCAGTCTCAGGCAAGCATTAAAAATGTGTACTAATTTCATTATTCCTTTAAATGGCAAGTTTTTTAGCAGTGTTGCATCAACTTCATCATAACCAGGTGCTTTACCTTCATGTAGATTTTTTATTTCCCTTAGTACTTCTTTAGGACTAGTACATTTGAGGGGTAGACACATTTGGTTTGCTGACTCAAGATATTCTTTAACTTTCACATTCTGTTCATGACCACAGTCTGGATGCGGTTGGAAGACAGAGCATAAATGTTCTGCGAAAGCAATCTTCTCCTTGCCGGATCTGGCCCATCCTCCCTTGTTGTTGTTGATAGTTGGGATGTGTACCTTAGGGCGCTTTAAATTTTTGGTTACTTTCCACAGCGAGTAGTCTGTGTCATTAGTGGGACTTAAGTTTGAAAGCAGGTGTTTTATATTGTTGTTTTCTATACTGTTGATGTGATTTTTGAGTTCTACCGAGTATTTATTAAAGGCAGTTTTATCGGACGGATAACCAGTTGTGTGCCATTGTTTACCTAGTCCGCGTCGCTTTAGTATTTTTTCTTTGATGTCTTTTGGATAGGTATTATTTTTAGAAGGTAAACCTTTATTTTTATTGATGGGAGTAGCTATGGAAGCGGCGTTATGAATAATCATGTTAAAGCATTCAATCTCATTTTCCAATTCTTCTGCTGAACTAATAAGTTTTTTTAGTTTTGTTTCCAAAGTAATCAATTGCTTATATGTTTCCCAGTTTGTGGTTTTAGGGTTATATATTTTAGATGGAAGTTCCACAAGCACTACATTTGTATCGATGCTTAAGATGACTGGTGTATGGTCTGATGTAAGGTCAATGCATTGATCAATCTTTACATAATTGCTATCTACATTCTTTGCAATATAGAAGTCCAAAAGATCAGGTACCCTGCCCCTATCAGCCGGCCAATAGGTAAGGTCCCTCCCGGAGAAATATTGCAGTTTCGCCTCTTCTATTACTTTATAGAGTTGTCTGCCTCTCCTATTGATTAGCCTGGAACCCCAGTGTACATGCTTTGAATTCCAATCACCACCACAAACAAATCTAGTGCCCAACGAAGAAAAGTAGTCACTGAAGTCTTTAGTTGTAATGTTGTGTTTTGGCGGACAGTAGACAGCAGAACAAACTGTCTCAACTTTTTTAGACACAAGCTTTATTGATGTTGCTTGTATTTTTTCAGTACGATATTCTTCTGTAGGAAAATGTTTC